GGAAATGAGACCCTTTCCCCACATTGTTTCACAGGATGAGAACAATGGCGAGTAACCTTGGCCATTCTTCAGAGGACCCATGGCCACTGCACAGGCCAATCAACCCACCTAGAACACACGGGTGACATGGCATGCTGTATTACATAAGAGCCCAGACCATTGACCACGTGGATAAAGACCTTCAGGTTGGCATATGGATGGGGTGTAGGGGAGGCGGAGCCTCAGGAGATGTCCATAAAGAGTGCCTCCAGGTGAGTCTGGGTCAAACAGGAGCCGAAGTAATAAAGCCCAAGTGAGGATCACCAGGCCCTCAGCTGCTCGGGAGCAGCTGCTCAGGCTTAGATAGGCACAGGATGCATAATGGAACTAGCTGGAATACAAGTGCTTTGTCCAGAGAAATTTACATTCTTAAGCCAAACAAAAAAAAACCCCATATATTTTTTGATTTGGGAAGGCTGCCACAATGCCCCACAGAAGCTCCCAAATAGTTTTACCCTGTTTCTATTCCTTTCTGTGGGACAGGTTCCCTGGTGAAGCTAATTTTCCCATAATAATCCATGATCCACCCTTTTCCTCACCCTTGTTGAGAGGGTGATTTTTTTCTGTGGAAGACACACTGTTTTCTTGAAAACTATTGTTTTGTAACAAACAAAACCAAATTTTTGTGGGAAAGTGGTCTGGGCTGAATTGTTTTGGTAAGCCCTTGTGTCCAAGGTTCCCTCTAATCTGTGCGTATGCGCAGCCATGGACAATAAAATTTTTTGTCCTGCAGTAACTTTTTAATGCCACGCACCTGCCCAGAGACGAGCTGGGCTGCAGCTTCCTATAAACTTTGGACTCAGAGTGCGGTGGAGGCACCAGGGCCGGCATGGGACACTTACCAGTGGTAAGTTACCATTCAGCTGCATGGTGGCCACTCCACTCCACTTCTCACCCCACCTCTCCTCTCCACTCCTTACTCCTCACTGCACTGGCATGTCTGTGGGGAGGGAGAGCAGCACTGGGTAGGCAGCGGCTCCTCTCCGAGGTGAAGTGGGGGCAGGAATGGGGGCTGGGGCACAGCCGAGCACTGTGCGGGCTCCGCCAGCTCCAGGGAACTGCTCCGTTCCCCAGACCCTTCAGGTGAACTTTGCCCTAAGCCCTGGCACCGTGTGCCTCCCTGTCCTGGGGCGGTTGGAGGAATGGAGAACCTGCCTTGTGAGAGGAGATTGGTGGGTCATAACCTCAGGCTTCAGGGCTTCTACTGATCACCTGAAGGAGCAAGGAAGAGCTTGCCCCTCTCAACTTTAAGCCCTGGACATTGGCCACAGCCAAAGGGGGAAGATAGGCTGGGAGAGGGGGTGCTGGTGCCCCTCAGAGGTATTGAGAGACCTCCCAGGTGCAAGGGCTGTAGGGGTTTTGCCTGCCTCTAGCATGAGGCATGGTCAGTTGTCTACGTCTGTATGAACACATCTTGCCTTGCTACTGCCATGGCAAAGGTCTCAGTGCTCCTGTTGTGTGTCCCACCCCCATCCTGTGGCCCACAGTGGGGTTTTGTGGCAGGGGCTGCCCTGGATCTACAGTGTGTGAAAGGAGCTGGAGTGGATGTTGTGGACCCCTTTGCACAGTTGTCTGCCAGCATGTGTAGGGGCCCTGCCTGGGATTTCCCAGCAGGTCCCTTCTAGTCCTATGCTCCTGAATGCAGGCATTCCCCTGGCGTGTGCCAAAAGGGGGAGGTGGGAACAGACCGCAGCACTCCAAGTACCATTCCTCAACCCAAGGGCAATTTCATCTGCTGAGACTTGGCCAATTAATGGCCTGAAGTGGAATAATGGAGCCCTCCCCAAAGAGAAATTCCAGACAAGTTTTTAAATGATATGACTACAAAGCCCCAAGTTGCTGTTAAGGAGTATCCTAAAAATGTAACAGAGAGCCATGTGAATGCTTATGAAGCTTATATATTATCCCTGGTTCAAGTTTCAGGGTTGTAAAATGCTGCTGCCAGATAGCAGACCAGATCCCATCTTCCTTGCTTCAGGAATCTGTTCCTTGGTGCTTGATATATGAAATTATGCATAGCGGGAAGCCAGATAAACCTGAAAGTACTTCTGGAGTAGAGCACAGAAACCAGCTGGAGTGAAGCATACAGTACAACAGAGAGAGAAAATTTGGCCAGGGACACAACGGCCAGCTTCTAAGCTTAAGAAAATTGCCTTGGGAGTTGTTATCCAGATGGAGCAGAGAGAAAATTGTTTTTTTAGCTCTGCCCAACAGATCCAAGCACAGGGAGCTCCATGAGGCTCAGCGTATCTCAGCAGGCAGAAGGGCTTAGGGCAGGGGTGGCCA